GAGGAGTGGCTGGTGGGTTTGAACCGCCAGCCTTCTGGTTAGCAGTCAAGTGCCTTAGGCACTATGCTGCCAGAGCTCCTGGAAACCAAGTTAGTAGAGTATTATTTGGTAAAAGCAAATTTTAAATATCAAGATTTAAAAAAAAAAAAAAAAAAAAAAACTGATTTTAGAGAATCTATTCCATTCCTGGAACTATATACATTATTTCATATAATTTTCAAAATTACCAAGGTAGATATTAGTGTCTCCCTCTATTTTACTGTTGTAGAGACCAGTTTCAGAAAGATTAAGAAATGTGCTTAAGATCCCACAGCGGAAGCTGAATCCAGTTCTCACTCTAAACATCATGTTCATTCCATTACTCTACAAGGTCCCAGTAGAAGATTCTGCATTGAACATATATTGTTGCTGTTGTTGTTGTTGTTGTGTGCTGTCGAGTCGGACATATGTTCCAGGGCAAAATACAGTTACTGAGAACTTGACTCCACTAATATTTCCTGAACATCCACTACGCCTAGGTGTTTTCTCAGAACCTCTTACTGAATTTATTTGTATTAATATCCATCAAGTGTATTGATTTCCTAAATGTTAAATTTTTTAATGCTATATACATTTTAAGGAGCTCTGGTGGCACTGTAGTTAAGGCATGGGGGTGCTAACCCATTGGGTCAGTGGTTTGAACCCATCAGCCACTCCTCAAGAGAAAGATGAGGCAATCTGCTTCCATAAAGATTTACACCACTGGAAACCCTATGGGAGTTGCTATGAGTTGGAATTGACTAGATGGCTTTGGGTATATACATGTATATACATTTTAATATTCTAACATCATCTACATTTCTCAGATACAGCAGGGACCAATAGCATACAGTTTCCATTGGAAATAAAAGTTACAAATGTCAACAAGGAAAAATGGTAATGAGTCATAATACTTTCCAGCTGGAAGACTTCTCTGAACTTGATTAATCCAGCTCCCTATGTTACAAAGGAGAAAACTAAGGTCCAGAGAGGTATAGTGGTTGGTTTGAGGTCACACAGCTTGTTAGACAGAGCTCAAACTAGAATTTAGGTTTCTAGATTGCCAGTGTGATACTATTTCTATTCTCCAATGCTGCCTCCTTAATGCTGATAATTGTTTAATTATTAGCTATATCAAGCTTCATTCCCAAAGAGATTTGAAACAAAAGGTACATACAGAACAAGGTTAAAATTCAAGATAAGAAATCAAGAGATAAGGAAACTATAAAATGAAAATGAGGATGAAAATAAAACATGCTGCAAATTCCTGTATATTTGCCACAATACAATTTGCTTGCTCAGAATACTACAAAAAAGTAAAGCTATTTTAAATCTACTTGTTAAAAGACAAAAAAAAAAATCAACAAAGAAAGGAAGGAACAAGAAGAAGATTAAAAGTTTACAGAGGTGTTTTCATTTTTTATCAGATGCTACTATATGATATGTTTCTTTCAGGAAGAAACATAGTCTTAAGATCTTTCTTCTCCTCAGTGGTTTGTTTCTGGCATTGGATGAATGTTTGCAGAAAACAGAAAGGCTGAGATTAATTGCTTTAAGCATAGTAATATAATTTCCACCTATTAAATAAATAGTCAGCAAAGAGAAATTTCTCATTTTTTACAAACCAGAATGAAATCTGCTTACCTCTGATTACAAAGCTGACATGCAAAGCAGTCCAGGTGGTAAACATTGTCCTTGGCACGCATCACCATCTCAAAGGCAGGGATGAGCTTACTACAGGCAGCACAGTTTCCCGTTACACCAAAAAGCCTAGAACAATAAATATATATATATATATATATATTTTTTTTTTCAAACTCTTACAGGAAACTCTGAGATTGTGAATAGAGAAGACGCTCATATACCCTGTAAAGCTATCAATACACAATGCCTTATGATGTACACAAGTGAGACTTATCCTAGGTGTATATATGAATACTTTTGTGCAGTGCATTCTCATTTGAACTCTCTTGATGAAAGACACATCTTGTTTCAGGAGAAAAGGAAATGATAAATATATTAGACAGTTTACATAATCACACACATATAGAAGTCAACTGGATTCAATCCATGGCAAAAGTCTTTCACTTATTAGAGTATACAGTAAATGTTAATGCGGTGTAACTTTGATCTTAATACCACATATTAAACATTTTAGTTAGAAAAGACACTCACTTGAAAGACTATTTTTCTGACATCAAGTTACTGAGAGGATTGCCATTATTATTAAAAGAACATTTATGAACACATCATTTAAGTAGTCAAAAAACATTAGAGATGCATGTACCTTATGGCCCTATACCATAGTTATAGCTATGATTATGTTATTCAGGTAGCACATTAAAGTAAATGAGGCTGTAAACTATATATAGCTAGACCAGGTATTGAAGCATAATATACTGTAAGAACCTTTGGAATTGTCAGGGGAAAAGGTGGTTAAAAAATCCTATTTGCTGTAGATTCCTGAAAATAGTTACTGTAATGACCTGAAAACCAGTACTAAGTAAAATGTCTCTATAGTTTCATAATGGATGGAAATAAAATATTTTATCCATTTGTGTCTGCAATATTTAAGCCAAGTTTATTTAAAGTTGTTAATGGCAGTGAAGAATTATTATAAATAATATTCTGCACATAGTAGTTAATGCACTTTTTAACTAGGAAGGAAACTAGATGAAAAACACCACATCTGCCAGTTTTCTTTTTTCTCCAGCATCAGGCTGACAGGAGAAAAATATAATGGCTCTCATGGGAAAGACCAAATTAAAAGCAGTTCTAAACTAATGAATTCAAAGGTGCTATGCAGAAAACTCATTTTAGTTATAAAAAATGCACTTTAAAAAATCTTAGCCTTTCATTTTATTGAATTTAAGGATTATGCACCAATGTGAAGTTTCCCTTCTTATTACTTTCTCTATATTCCAAAGATTGGTCTTTGCTCAAGGCACGTGCATTCATTTTCAAGTTTATAACTACTTCCTCTTACCAAGCTAATGAAAATTATTGAAAAGAATTGTGAGAATGGTTTCTAAGAGTCTGGAAAAACGTGTAATAAATGTTTATGCTCATACTTTTGTTAGACTGGCTCTTGAAGAACAGAAGCGTCTTGAGGGTAGAAATTGTAAATGGTTTTTAAACAGTTTGCTCACAGAATCTATGCTTGATTTAAAAAAACAAGCAAGCAAGGTTTATAGTCAAGAAAATTAAATTCATAAGCAGTAGTCACTTATTTTCCTTAAAGTATTTAGAAAAAAATATTTTAATATGCTTACTTTAAAGAATATAACTTTAATAACCTTTGCTTTCTCCTTTCAATCTGCATTTTGAGAAATAATATTTCTTTAAGAACATCAATGAAAAGGTAGTATCTTGAATCTCCTACTGGCGGCATTAAAAATGAAACCACTACAAACTAAAGCTTACCTCCTACCCTTTTGTAAAAAGAAGATTTTAGTCTCACATTCATTTTTTGGTGGGCTATCCATGACCTATTAAGGAGTCATATCACTTATGTTTGCCATTTGTTTCTTCTGTTAATATTATTTTTAAAGAAATAAGTAGATCTTTAAAGTTCCATGCATATAGGTATATGTGTGGGCATAAAATATGATTAATATGAGATAAAGCGGTTTTTAAGAATTACTCAGTTTGCTTATACCTAATAAACATACACACACAATGCCATTTTGAAATTCTGGACGTAGTTTTCCCCAATTTCAATTGCTCTTGCTAGCTGAGCATTTATCAGCTACCTGATTAGAATTTGTTTCCACACAAACCATTGATCATCAGCCTATTACTAGGCAAATGACAGTTAATTACCCACTACATTAACCACTGGGACCTGAGACCTGCTTCTGCTGCCATCAGTCAACATGATAAATGTGGCAAGTTCAGTAATGCATGGCCAGCCCTGAGCTGCCTGCTATACTGTGAACAACCCTCAATCTCACTTCCAGGCCCAGGAAAATCTATGGCAATCTGCATAATTACAAGCTCTGGGTTAATAACAGACAAATGATTTGTTACATCTAAACAAAGTCCTTGGAATGGGCCCGGTCTCTGGTGGCTGCCCGTACTGTGTGCTGCCACTAGTGTACTTTCCAGTACAATGTGCACAAAACAGCTCTCTGATGCTATAGCCTTCCAATTTGTTGCCCTCCAATTTATGGATTCTGCATATGTGATTTTTAATCATTAAAGGACTCTTGAAGCAATATTATCTTAATTATTCTCTGCTGTAACCAGGGAATTAGGCTTCAGATAAAATTTTCTTCTTCCACGCACTTTCCCTGCCTCACTGGAGGCTCCATCAGTTCCCATCTACACCTGGACTCTGAAATCCTAATGATGAATTATTGCCCCTTTTCCTAAGAGGGCGAACCTTACAAGGGAACATTTTACTGAACTGTCAGCTCACAGACTGAGTGTGGAGATGCGGAAATCTGATCTAATTTACTGCAAAACGATGCATTTGTTAGATTTTTTTTTTTTTTCTCTCAGTTTTGTCCAAGGATCAAGAGATCATTCTGTAACCACATGCTCTCCTTTTTCTCTGTGGGACAACCACAAGATTCTGCTTGGAAAGAAAACAAAGTACCACTCTATAAAATAGGCTTCTCAAAACAGATAACACCATCCTTTGGTTTTCAAACACAACATTTGGATTCCCAGGCAACAGACAATTTCATATATATCAATTAATCTTAAGTTATTTGTAAGATTTTGTTCAGATATGTCTAAGAAATACTCAAGAAGAGTCTTGGATTATCTAATTTATTTAAATTATTTACAATTCGGGAAATCCTTGTACCCCTTCCTTCTCATTCCTCACTCCCAAACTCAATTATAAGGATGTTAACACTGACCCACTGTTCTGTTTATGCTGGAAATCTGTAAAATCTTGTTTACAGTGTTTATATAATATCACCCTCTACAAAAGCGGGGGTGCCTATGAGTTCTTAGTACTACATGAGAAAGAAAAAGCTTTATTTTAAAATGGAAGTCACTGTGAGATTTTGACCTAAATGAATCACACAGTACCATCTATAAATTTATGATGTTGTTGTTGTTATGTGCCATCGAGTCGGGCCCAACTCATAGTGGCCCCTCCTTGGGTTTCTGAGGCAGTATTACTATGGAAGTAGATTGCCCAACCTTCCTTCCGAGGAGTGGCTGGTGGGTTTGAACTGCCAGCCTTCTGGTTAGCAGTCAAGTGCTTAGGCACTATGCTACCAGGGCTCCTTGATCTACTTTGTTCATTGTAAAATGTCTTAAAGATTATTAAAGTATAAAACTGAAAAAATAACAACCAAAAACCACTGCCATCGAGTCAATTCCAATGAAGAGTGACCCTATAGGACAGAGTAGAACTGTCCCCATTGGGTTTCCAAAGCTGTAAATCTTTACAGAAGCAGACTTTCACATCTTTCTCCCATGGGGTGGCTGGTGGGTTCGAACTACTGACCTTTTGGTTAGCAGCTGAGCTGTTTAAGCACCGTGCCACCAGGCCTCCTTATTAAGGTATTTGAGGGGTTAATTTGCCCATTTGTGGGCTAGACTGTACTCTATCATTTATAAACATAATAGGCTGTAAGCAATAGGGTCTCTATCTTGTTTCTGACATACTACCAAAAGTAGACTTAGAATATAAAAGGTGACAATTATCATCTATGCACTATCAGTGCATATTACTACTTGCAGGAATCCCAAAGGACACGTTTGTCCCTTTTCTGCTCTATTTTTGTTTTCACTACCTGATATTGACAATCTAAACAGAGGCATGAAGATAAAAACCAAACAGACAACTTGCTTATGGATAAAAATTCAGCCCATCTGATGCTGTATAACACATCCCACACTGTGGTAAACATGCAAAGAGAAGAATTTCATAATTTTCATGTATAGGTAACATAGCAACAACTAAGACAATAATCATTTACACTTTTTAAAGTTACCCAGAAATTTTTGCATTATTACTAAATGTACAACAGCTATTGTAGCATAGTCATGAATCAGGTGAAGTCTGTATATCCATTTCTAAAGTTCTTGGAGGTGGGTATAGAGAAAAACTGAAGACATATAATCATTTAACATAGCAATAATGAATATGGTTTACTACACGCATCGGGGGAAAATGAGTGTTCATTGTATTAGTGTCTTTTATTTTATAGCACCAGATGTTTCTATAGATTTTTTACTAGGTCAGTGGCTCAAGACACTAAATCAAAACCGCCCAAACCAATGAAAAGCATAATATTTGACTCAAATTAATTTATTATTTGAGGGAAAAGAGATAAATAAACATCACTGCAGTAAACCTCAATTCTGAACAAAGATAAATTTTTTTCTTCTAGAATTCAGGTAATTCTCATTTAGTGACTTGAATACAAATGAATTTAACAGTAAATATTTAAAAAATATATTGAGAGTAAGACTTAGTTTAATTATCTTCTTATTAAAAATACTCTTTCTACAGAAAAACCAGAGAGGAACAGAGAAAGGCAAGTTTGATTTTTCAAGCATATGACATTGTAATCAATTGAAAAGAGCTTTAACTTTTGACTGCTGGATGGTGAAGTTTTATTGAATATGTTATGTGGGAAGGAATGGAACATTTTCACAGATTGAGAAGGGCAATTGCTTTTTTGTCTTTTACAAATATACTTCTCATCTCCTTTCCTATTTCACTTTTTAAACCAAGGAATGAAGTGATAGGAAATGAAAACACTTTAACATTCAATTCTTTTGTTTCAAACTTAAAAAGCTCA